ATTTTAAAAAAAGTAAATCATAAGCAAATTTATAGCAATTTTCCAGGCAAATTTGCCTGGAATTGCCTACAGTTTAAAGGATAACAATCGTAACAAACATTTTTACAATGTTGCAAACACATATTACCAAAACGTCATCAACACGATTCCAGAAAGATGAATAATATACAGGCATATATACCACCAGGATACAAACTACGAAATCACAATACTAAAAAACCTAAACCTAACCTAACTCTAACAAATAAAGTATCACACAATTCCAACAAAGCATGCAAAATTTTTGACAAGTGAACGTATTCACATGTCATAGATCCATGACACATAAAACTACCACCAACAACGCACCAGCATGACAAGCAAGGCAAAAAAGAAAACCAACTCGAAAATTGATCTGGAATATCATACGCCTCAAGGAGGTTTGGTAACATCTAGGAACAAAAAGAAATGTTAGCAAAAGTTTATACACAAACTTATTCAAAGTACCACACAAAAAAAACGAATATGGTTATGAAAAAAAATGACAGAACAAAAAGAAAAAAGAAACAAACAAACAAATATGCTCCTGAGGCAGAATTCAACAATGACAAATGTCAAAAGAAAAGGAGCCGAAATGGATAAAACCAACAAAGAATAGACTAACCAAACACAAGCGAACACTGTATTTAAAGATACTAGCGATACAAAGCACCAACAAACAAAAAAAAAACACCGAACAGGACAACACCAATGACGCAAGGCACCAACTAGCGAAAGAAGCACCAATGACGCAAGGCACCAACTGGATGACACCGACAATGCAAAAAAAAGCACCAACCTTCAAAAAAAGAACAGATACCAGCCGATAAAAAAAGAACCGAACGGACGACACCAATGATAAATCTACTATTTTTAAAAAGGAAGAAAAAAATAATAAAAAAATAAATACATATGACAAAAGAAATAATAAAAAAATAAATACATAACAAAAGCAAAAAAAAAAATTGAATAACTTATCTTTTTATACATATTAGCTCTGTGTAACTGGTAATGATCACTGCCAGTGATTTGTGGAAATTGATGTAATATATGTAATTTAAAATCAGAAAAAATTTTAGAAGTTGGGTTCTTGTACATTTTCAAAGATATGGTTGTATTGAAAACTTCTATCGCTTTCAAGAAAACCACATTATGAAAAAGGTTTAAGGAAAAAAAAACTTGACTGGTACTTGTTTGAATTACAATCCAAGATTGAGATGTAATATTAGTCTTACAACAATTTGAAGGCCTATACACTAACTTGGATATGCACAAAAAGGTACATATTTTCAATTTTATAAAAGGCTCTTTCGTATTATAGCTGTTTTCAAAAAGGTGTAAATGGTTGCAGATCACCATGTCATGGGAAATTCACTATATTTTCCAGATTTCCAAAGTTTTCAAGACCTGTTCTAATCAGGAGGTTTAATTTTTACTAATTTAAATTTCCAAATTCTTCGATTTCCCACATAGACTTTTGGAGTGTGCCGAATTCAACTATTCAAAACCAAACTTGATAGTTAGAAACTTTTGAAAGACCATAAAATTTAAAATCCTTTAGTTTTCATAATATGGCAAATTGGGTCTAGATGGTTTTGCTTTCATATATGAAATCATTGTTCACACATTTTTGAAAACGGGCTTCTAATTCAGGTTCTTTCATGTTAATAATATCCAATTTAGGATCTTTTTCACTGTTAATTTCTGAATCAGTTGCGTTTACTTCAGACAAGTCAAATAACTCAAAAGTATTTGTTATAGAAGATAAAGATTCTTTAATTGTTAGATCTACGGTTTCGCTTTGATTGTATTGATTAACACATTTTCAACAAATATTAATTAAGTCTTGATCTTTTGGAATTTTGACTTGAATTTTTAGTCCAATCTTGATCGTATTTAACTTTTTTAATATTAGCATCTATTGGTGTGATATATTTACTATAAAAGCTAATTTGATAAATTTGAAAATATCTTAGAAATAGGCTTAGGAGCATTTTCTACAGTTTTTTAGAACCAAATATTTAAATCAATCTGGGTCATATGAAGAAGTAGCAATCAAGATCGTAAAAGATTCTAATAAGAATAAAGTTCCATTCTTAAATGAGGTATT